AGCATGAAATGGGTAAAGGCACTTTGTGCAGCTTCATCGAAATACTCTTTTAATTAGCATAATATAGCATGAACTCACATCAGAGACTTAAACACACCAATATCACAATATGCCCTTGAAAGAGAATAAGTAAAATGCATTGAAACAAGGAAAGACAAAACAGAACATCTGTCAAACATTCATCCTTTGAGTATCCTAGATCCTTCAATTTGGCTATAACTCTTCACCATTTAAAGTTGTGTTGGGTAAAAGAAAGAGATTGAAAAAAAACACATGGCTTGGGATATGCAGGTGCTTTGAAGAGTTGGAGAAAGAGAGTGCATTGAAGAGTGACAACGCTGACTACCAACAAGAGCATATTGGTTCGCTTAACAACCCAATTGCTTTTTTCTGCTTGTTGTGTTGGTGGCAAATGATCCTCATATCCTAAGAAAATAGTCTTCCCTTCGGGAGACACCCGATAAAATTCAAAAACGAAATTGAAAGCATAAAGTGGTCCAATGACCGATAAAACCTAGATCCTACTGCAGCTGATGCTTCTTCGTATCGAACACCACTTACTTATTCATTATGCTTTAAAATTGTCACTACACATTACCTTGCAGGTCAAGTCACCCTACATGAATCTGCTCATCTTAGTTCTTACTATTTTATTAATATTACAATAACCAATCTCCAAGAAGAGGGACAAATTGAGTTGACGCATCATTAATTTCATCTACATTAAGTGAATGAGCTCAACCCAAACGACGTAACATGATAACAATTAATGCATGACGATAGTAGTACTAACAAAAGGAATGTCATCTGCACATTAAAAGATTAAAAATACCTGTTGCAAATACTCTTCAACAGTTGTTGCCTCCGCAGGAAAAACGTCTTCAAATGTCGTCTGGTGAGGAAGGAATATAGGAATGTGAAGAAAATTAACAAAAGGTAGAATCAGATAAAAACTGTCGGGAAGATTTTTCCAGCCCAATTCCTCACCAAACAAATTTAGAACATCGATAGAATAAAAAATGATCCTTTAGATTCTTATTCAAGATAAAGGAGAAACACTTTTTTCTAATTCTTTACATTTAGAACTGCTAATAATAATTCCAGTTTGTTTTCCATTACTATGAGTTGACTCATTTAATGATGGACACATGCAGCAAAAGGTTTGTAGTCATGCAGAATATTAGCCTCCTTCTCATGGCTTTTTTTTAAAAGCAAAAACCTAAGCTGCAGGGACTCTTCAACTTTGATGCCACACACGTGTCGGATTCGCCAAAAGTAGCCATTGACATTTTTGAAGAGTCCTGAGCAACATAGGCAAAAACAGCATCTGACAAATATTGGGCACAACTTAAAGTAACAATATATGTAAGACCAAATACTCGCTTTGATGTTGTTGGATTAACATCCACATTAACAAAACATCTACCAAACCTTTGACTTTTCATCCATTACCTGAAAACCATTCATATGTAATCATTCATTCTATGTGTACAAATTCTAAACGTGGAGCACTATCGAAAATAAATAATTGACTTGGCAAAGCTCTAAATGGGAAGGAAAACTGTACCTTTAACTCAAAAGACTTGAGATCACGAGCAAGCTGCTCTGCATTGATACCCTCACGAGCTAGTAGCCTTTCAAAGCAAAGGAAACAAACAATCAGACTCTACAGAACTACATTTCTGTTACTTCTTAGTCTCCATATTGCAACCACTAACCCCTGATCTATGGAAGATGCATGTAAATGGATTACAAATAAATATAAAACTTCAAAAGTGTTTTGAAAGCACAGGTGAGAGTATGAAACAAACCTATGTCTGAAAATTGAAAGAAGGGAAATTGGGAGATAAAGAGGAAGAGAAAGAATGTTTTAATCAATATCTGAAACTAATAACCTATTTGACCAAGCTTCGGGGATGTCAAAAGTACTTAATTTTTGAAAGAAAAAAAAAGTGTTTATGTTAGATAGTTGAGGTGTTTGGACCTTGGTCCAAGATTATAGGAAAAATAAGTGCCTTCTGAAAGTGGCAAGAGCTGTTTCTTAGAAGTTAAAAAGTAACTTCTACCCAGAAACACTTACTGAAGCACTAGCCAAGCACAGAGCCACAAATGAATGCTCTAATATTAGCAATAGTGCTTTTCAAATTGATTAGTCAAACACAAGCTTTTACTTACTTATCCAAAAAGCACCTAGGACGAAAGCATTTTTCAGAATAAGTAGGTTTTAGATGATAGGCCAAACATGAATTGACTTTTTCGCAAGAAGTTACAACAACAACATACGCTATGTAATCGCACAAGTGAGGTCTAAGGAGGTTAGACTAGTAGAGTGTATGCACACCTTACTACTATCTATGAGATAGAGAAGTTATTTCTGATAGACCCTCGGCTTAAATAAAGCATGCCGAACAGTTTTTAAAAGGGGGATTTTGCAAGAAGTTGATATACAAAAGTAGCACAACTTGAAACTTCACTGTACCAAAACCCCAAATGAATATAGCTAAAATTCATAATCAAATATCACTTAAAGCAAAATAACATAGTGTTTTAAAAACTACTAGTACTGAATACAAAGAAAATGTACCTAGTTGCTGCAATAGATTGAGTCGGAGCTTCAGTTCTTAAAGTTTTAGCCTTCAATTTCTTTGTTAATGCTTCCAATTGATCCAAATTCCTCTAAAATTTCCAAATCAAACATAAGCATTCCAAACTAGAGTAAATTGACGACAATCGAACATACATTACCAAAAAAAAATGATTTTTAACGGAACCTGAAGCGGAGGAAACTGAGCTGAAGGAGCAGCCTGTTCTAGAAGCTTCGAAGAAGAATGAAGAAGCTCACTCCATCCACTCATGTCTACGTCGTTCGCCATTGTTGCACTGAACTTTGAGGACTTTGTGCTTTGCTGAATAAGAAAAGAAAAGAAAAGCCCTAATTTGAGCGGTAAAGTTTCTATAATTTATTCTCTAGAAGCGGGTACACTGCAAGGTACTATAGGGGATGATTTACAAGAATGGTCATTATATGGGATGGTCTTGAGTGTACCTTTCAATTTTGAGATTTTTAAATTTGATTGTAAATTCTATATATTATCTTTTTAACTGTTTTTCATTATCAATTATTGTGAAATATATTATTTTTTGTGTAATTTATAAATAAATAAATAAATTTCAAAAAAGTTAAAAATTTCAATGTACAAATTTCCAGTTAAATGTAAACTATTTGGCTCTCAAAATATCACATAAATTGAGATTAAGGATAGTGTGATGTAGGGATGTTCATGTCTTCATGGTAATGGTTAAAAAATCAAATTGAACCGTAATCTAAATCAAATTAATTAAAAAATCGATATTTGATTTAGTTAAGTTAGGCTTGGTTTTTAAATTTTGAAACAAATACTATTTGTTTGTTTGGTTTTGATTTTACTGTAAAATAACCAAACCAATAAATTGGAAATATAAATTTTATAATTATTTATAAAGTATTTATAAATAATATAATATAATATTTTAATAAATTTCAAGTAATTAAGTCTTTAACTTTACAATTTTCTCAAACCTAACACCTAAAATTTAGCCCAATTACAATTCTAAGTTCAAATCCATCACAATTTATTACCTAACATACCTTTCATAAAATAGTCACACGCTTTCTCTTAATTTAATAATTTTGTTCGTATAATGATAACTCTATATTGCTTAATTGAACCAACAATAGTTTTTTTTTGTGGATTGCTCATGTACTAGATGTTTTTTTTAATCAAGATATGTATTTTCTCAAAAATTTATTACTTTCAAATCAAAAAAATCAGAAAACCGAACCAAACCGTCAATAACAAAACCGATTGTTATTTTTTTTCATTTGGTTTGGTTTGATTTTAGAAATTTACAAAAATCGACTAGATTGGTTTGATTTTAACCAATAACTGATCCAAATCGAACCACAAACAACCCTAGTGTGAAGTATAAACGTTTTCTTTTTAATGGAAAAGTTATGTCAAGAGACTCTTCGGTCAACTTAACTATTACCAAAAAAATGGCCACTTTATTCTTTGACCTTCGGCGGTGGCGGCGGCGGCGGCGGCTTCTACTTTTTCTTCGTTGTTGTCGTCCTTTTTCTTCTCCTTTTTTAAAAAGTTGTTCGGTTGCAAACGTGAATTATTCCAAGTAAATTATATATAAAAATGATTTGAAATATCGAGTGTATTTCAACACTTGAATTTTGAAGCATGCTTCATTTCAGTATTCGCTATCATTGTTGTCCATAGTGAAGAGACTGTTTAGATTTGATTTTGAATTGATCGAAATCAAATAGTCATGTACTTCATGTATAGTTAAATTTTATCCAGTTTTTTGAGTATATAATAATATATAGTCAGTTTATAGCTCATATATCTCTAAGTTATATTGTATTATTAGTGTATATTTTTTATGACTTTTGATTAATTTTTATATAAATAAAGCATGAGTACATTTATTGTAAATTAATTACGTTGTTGTATATATTTGAAATTTTTTAATTTTAATATGGCTTTAGCTTGGCAATTTTGGATGTACGTAGGTACAAGGTAGACTCTTAAACTTGTATAAAGTTGAACAAACAAATTTACCGTATACACATTGTATATGTATGTGTATACTTGTTCGACTTAATACATACTCAAGTATCTGTTTCTGTACACCCAAAGCCAAATGACATAAATGTCGATTGAAAATCTTTAAAACATTATAGATACATCTTATTCTTCCCAACCCAAATAAAAAAAAGAATTGTCGAAACGTCAATTGAAAATAACCTCTACTCCATTAAGATTTATCTCTAAAATTCACTTATGAAATTTATGTTATTGTTATATTATTATTGATTGTAATCAGTATCAGTTAGTGTTTTTTTTCGATCTATTAAAAAATCAAATATAATCTGACTCTATCAAAAATTTTCTAGTTCACCCCAATATTCCCCAATTGTCCGATAGAATACAAAATTGTATGTGCAAGCTCGCATACATTGTTGGTCTCAACCTATATTCTTGTTGAGGTTTTACTTATTTCTAAATCATCTAGCTTTCGATGAGTCAAACTTTAAAAGTAGCTAAATTTGCAAAAAGTGCCTATACCTTAAATCGATTCCTCAAACTGGTTATTTTTGCAATTTTCAGTTTCTTCAAATCCCTTGAACTTTGGAGCTCTTCTACATTCCTGTGGGCGATCAGGAAAGTTCCAGCAGTGTTACAGCAAGCTCGTAAAGCTATTGCAAATTTGGATTTGCTCAAAGTTTTGCAATCTGAAATTAACCATGAAGCTTCAGTTAAGCAGTTTCAGGTAAAATTCTTTTTTGCTCAAAAATCCCATTTTTTTTCTTTGTATTTTGGCTCCATTTGATGGAGATTATCTTTACATTGTTTCTTTGAAACCTAATTTTATGTTTTTGTGAAGCTTATGCAAAAAGGGTTAGTAGGTATTTTTTATTTGATCTTGTCTTCTTTGAATTTTAGTACATTTTCTATGTCAGGCGTTTGAGTGGAGATTCCAATTTTTTTTTTGCTTTTTTTGGAATCTATGGAGTTGGAGTTGAAAATGAAATTGTATTTGGTTATACTTTCTGCAGTAAATAAGAAAATATTTGAAATAATGTTCATGTGAAGTACAAAAACAGTTATTCACTGTTCATATGTGTATGTTATTGTAAATAATACTACTTCTTTATTAACTGTTCTTTGCTAATCATATGAAATTTCAGCTAGCTCTTTTTGTTTTCCTTTATCTTTTTTCATTTTCAGTTAATTTCCTTGTCCAGATTTGACCAAAATGTACGTGTTTTGTGGTTTGTTCTGCTTTAGAGTAGTCTTGTGAAGAACTAAGCATGTTTACTAGCCGAATACATGATTTCTACAGTTGTTTTTGAATTCCAGGAAAAAAAAAGACTAGATGGAGAGTTCTCGTATGTGATATGCCCATGCTTTAGATCTCTCAACTTAGTTCCATCTTAAATTGTTTACCTGAATTCTGATTGTTTTGACCCCAGCCAGTTTGAAATTGAGGTAGTTGTTGATGTTGTTGAATTCAACTGTTTAGACAATGTGAACCTTCCTGGCACTAGCTACAGATTATTATGTTGTATCATAGTGTAATAGCTTCAGTCTTTGTTAATCAAGAATAACTGCCAAAATTGTTGGGTAAGAGAAGAGGACCACTCCCTATGGTCCCCGAAGGAAAAATGTATCAGCATCTCATTGACAAGTATCTAGAACCCGTCTTCAACTATCACATGTCCAGAAAGTTGACCGTTCCTTTTCCCGGGTTGTTTAGTTTGATTTGTCTCCTAATGAAGGCTTTTTTAAATTCGTAAGTTGGCCAGAAAGCACCTAGTGATTTAGTCTCTGTTGGGACTTGAACCTGAGACATTCTCAACCCACTTCATTGCCACACCCTTGGGTGCCATCAAGATATTCTAATTATGATGAATCCTCTGAGATTGTATTATTTAACGAAATAAAGGGTTCATATATTCAATAGTTGATCGGTTGAAACTGATATTTTTATGTGATCAGTTTACCCAAATGGTAATGTTTTATCTTATCCTTTTTCATACTCTTAGGGGTTTAGAGTTATTAAAACAATAATGTATGCATTAGCCTTGTGGATTACTAGTACCTTGTTTGATATACACTCTACTATGCATTGATGTGTGTATTGCTAATACCATGGATTTCTAGGTATTAGCAATGCAATGCTTTTAATACATGAATTAAACTCAATTAAAGACTCAATTGCCCCTTAATACCTTTTTATATTTTTTCCACCATAATAGTGAAGGGAATCTTTTTAAATAATTTTATAATGCAATGCATTCTATTTTTAATGCACCAAACGAAACAATGTATAAAAATAATCTATGTATAATAATGCAAGTATAACTAATACATGCATTTCTAATACACTCTATTTTGCATTATATTAATACACTCTACCAAACGACCCCTAGCGTTAGTTTGATGCAGCAGTTTAACATACTCTTTATCATAATTAATGAAGTAACTCATTCAAATATCCCTTTGTTAGACGGGTAAAAACAACTTGTTAGTAATAAGTAGGCATCAAGATGCTATCAAGTTAAAGCAAGTGTAACGGAGAGAAAAACAATAGCTATCTGAAGGGCAGTAAACCACTAGAAAGCCGAAGCCAATATCATAGAGATGGCTCACTTAAGTATTCCTCAAAGTCATCTGGAGTATGACAGAGGTGTTCCTTTCATCAAATATAAAAAGTTTATAAAAGAAAAAAAAAAACAGGTATGAATTCAATTTGGGGCAGAAATGTTTGTGTTCATGATGGTTGCACTCCACCAGACGTCTCATACAAAATTTGATTAATTTGTTTCTATGTTGTCTTTTTTCACTTTCAAAGACAAATTAGTTCTGTCTATTGAAGTCGAAATCTTGAAATCATTTAATTGTAATCTCATCCACCTTGATGTGAGTAACTAACTGCAATTAATAGTTTGAAATCTGAGCACTTCTTAAGTTTTGTTTTCTTTTTCTGATTTTAACAGAATGATGAAAGTAGTAGCTTTGGCAATTTTGTTGTAGACTGGTATTCACCACAATTTCAAGACGTAGTTCTACGCAGGAGATGCGAGTCAGAGGAGGAAGTTGTTGTTTCTGCTTTTTTGGGTGCCGAGGGCTTTAATGAAAATGCCAAATTTCCCAGGGACGCTTTCATGAAAGTAGGTGTGAAGAAGCCTGGCTTGAGATTCTTGCTACAGTTTGATTGTGTGGTAACTGCTCAAGTTGGTGATGGTTGTGATGTTGAAATTCAAAACATGAACTACATTCCATCACTATACCTTGATTCTTCAGCCCAAAAAGGTCCCTGTATCAGGTACTTTCACCTTCGGTAGAAGCACTTTAGAACAACTTTCGCTTTTGGGGAGTGAGAGCTCAGCATTTGGACTCATAGGCGAAGGAGTTTCAGTCTCAATGCATTGATTAGTTGTCTGGTTTTGGTACATGGAAAAATAATTCCGCATAATGATATTATTTTATGTGAGATAACGACAAAAATAACAACATGCCCTAGTGTAATCCCACAAATGGGGACTTGGGAGGGTGGTGTGTATGCAGACGTACCCCTACCTTTAAATAAGAATACATAAATCACCAATGTAAGAGTGTCTAGAAATAAGACTACCATTAAAATAGTCTATTTCTACATAACAATTCATGTGTTATTCTTTAAATGAACTGGGTGTTGTTTGTAGGAAACCATATTGTTTTATAGGTTCTTTACTTCTTTGAATACTTCTTGTATACAAGCATTTTTGTGTACAACCTCTTTAATAAAATTGTTACTTACTTTATATATATATAAAAGAAGTATTATTCCTTACCATGTAACAAACATTGTTTTATCGTTCCCAATATAACAATTATATATTATTATTCTCCGCACAGCTATCACCACATTATAATCCTTGCATATCTCGTAAGGACTTAAGGTCGTTCGATACTTCTAAATTTTAAGAACTTCTAGATTTGTCACTATCAACTTTGGATACAGGATCGCTGAAATAGCAAGTTTTTCTATCAAATGCTTTGCCAACCTGTTTTATTCTAAGCTCACATAAGTATGTAAAAAATCGCTAGAGCATTCTTGCATTTGTCAACTTTCTCATATATGGTATTCAATCGTCTAATCCTGTCAGCTAGGGAAACAGGATATTCATTTCTTAGTTTATTTATATATACTGTTGCTGCCTTCTATTCCAGCTTCGAGTTGGATTATGAATTTGTGCCTTTAGTTTGAGCTGTTTGCATCCTTTTATTGGTCCACCTTCAGTATCCCAAGTCATGAAAGGTCAGCCCTCTGAGTTCTTTATAAAAAGCTTAAAATCGCATTCTCAGGAGGTGGAAAAAAAGCTGCTAAACTTCACGGCTATAAGCTTTGTATAGTATCAACTTGCTCGAGTCGAAGAAGCTAGTTTAATCCCCCTATTTTTACATTCTTGCAAACACAGTGCTTTCCTTTTGCTCTTATTGCCTTATTTTTAGCAATTTTTTCATCTGTTTCTCCGGATGGTTTTGATGTTTGTGCGTACATATTGTTTCTTAAATTAAACGATTCTTCTTGGTTTATTTTATTACAATCTCAAGGGTCGCCAGTCGCATTTTCTTCAAGAAAGACCATTTCGGTTTCTTGCATCAGATCTCTCTTCAAATATGTATGAATTATGAGTTTCTTTTGTTTTTTCAGTTCATCAGATGAGAGACTTCGAGATGAGCTCCACAAATATCTAGAAGCAAGAGGAGTCAGGAGCAAGGTCAATACGTCGAGTGGTTGCACAAATTGCAAGGTCTTGTAATACCAAGTGAATGACACGGACAACGCCCTATGCAGGATAGTAGTTGACTTGATTCGAGTTCATGACATTAAGACACTGATTGCTGGAGGGGGAGAAACATCTGTTGGTTTACTTGCAATATTTGTTGGTTTCTGTATGTTCTATTTATACGTAAACCCCTTCTCGTTTTACTGAAATAGAGATCTGATTTAAACAGTCAGGTGCAACTTGCATTATAGAATTATATCAAAAAAATGGTTCAAGAATTGTAAGTCGAGTGAACACTGATTATTTTGTTCAAAGAGTAATTAGGGGAGCACTTGATATTTTGAAATTACTTCTTTTACAAATTTTATCATCTAGTGATGTTACTTAATAGTACGCCTCAATCCTAAATAAGTTGGGTAGGCTACGTGGATTCTTAGCTTCTCATTTTAAGTTTTTATATATCATTATAACACTAAATGTGGATTCTTAGCTTCTCATTTTAAGTTTATATATATCATTATAACACTAAATAAAAATAAAGTTGTTAATTTCATTTTACATGTGTGTTTTGCAATTACTTAGATATTTTCTAGTTAGAATTGCTCATTTTGGAAATTAATTTTTAGCTGATAATTATAGTCAAATTTCTCTATGATAGTCACATGCTATAACAAACATAATTTATAACTGAACTTTTATGTTATATTATTACTATATGATTTTTATAACAACGCTTTGCTATAGCCATCAGAAAATATCAGAACAAACAACTTTGATGAAATAAAATTTGATTGTAGTTTCAAAACAATTCGTATCAAGTGTAGTTACTCGTACATTGTTTATAGACATAATACATAAACACGACTTTTTACTTGGCGTCAGTTGATAATTATGATCTTTAATTTTAGATGTGCACAACTATGCACTTAAACTTGTATAAAATGAACAAATTGATATACTCGTCCTACATGGCACCCGAAATAGAAAATTTTTGTCCTTCGTGGCGTCGTACGTGTATCATGCCAAGTAGGACACGCGTGTCTACTTGTTCAATTTTATACACATTTAAGTGTTTACTTATACACATCCATAGTTAAGAGTCATAAATTGTCAACTAACGTCAAGTTAAAGGTCATATTTATGTATTATGCCTTATTTGTATATTGTGTATGAGAAGCTATAATTATGATAGAAATGCATTCAGTCATCAAAAAAGAGGATTTGATTGAGTATCGAGGAGTCAAGGAATTTAGGCCAAAATACCAAATGAAAGTAAATCGATTTTTTTTCATTCCTGAAGAGGTGCATCTAGGTGTGTTATGCGTGAGGAACACTTTTCTTTATTTTTTTTTTCCATAGCATGACCACATTCACATTTCACAATTCCATGTGTATCGTAAGTATTAAAGTTTTATATTTCTAAAAGTCTCAATTTTAAGTCTTTGAATATGGAAAAATGTACCTAAATAGATTAAAGTCATGTTTACATAAGGTGTCCATTACAAAATTTAAGTCTTGTTGACCTGATTTTTCTTTCTTCCTCCTCTTTTTTTCTTTTTTTTTAAATAAAAAATGTTATTGGTCAATTATAAAAGACACTATTGATGTGTCTTTTTCTTATGGACATAATCATGTTGGTTAATTCCATAAAATTTCCATGAAAGAATAAGGAAAAAAATGTTTTTTTTGGTCAAAAGTCAATGACGTAAGAGCATGAGATTACAAAACATATTTCTGATTCACCAATAGTCGAGAAGAAACTGATGAGGACATTAAACTGGTTTTTTTTTTTTTAGCTATCGCTTATGGAAAAAGAGATAGAGTGATAATTAAAGTTGTCTTAAATTTTTAAAAGATACGTCTTAATTATGCAAGCGTCTTATTATCACATAAATAATTCTGAAGTGATATTATTACATAATTTTTTTGTTTATATGGCATAGAGAATGTATATACTCAAAAAAGCAGATATACTAAAATAACGAATATAATTTTATTTTTACAAAAATTTTACTAAGAAATATATTTTCTTGTTTTTCTTATTATTCTAACTTTTTTTTACTTATTATTTTATCTTTTTCTTTCTTCCTTCGTCTGCTTCAAAAATACATTGTCATCTCTATTGAAACTTCTCACTTTCAATGTCACTTTTTACCACAACTTCACATCCCTTTTTTACTACTATTAGAATGATTTTTCAATTTAAAAATTATATTTTAAATATTTTATTAACATTTCTAATAATTTGATAAATCCATTAGACTTTAAGATGATTAGTAGGTATCATGTATTTTGTCTTGATCTAAATTTCAATCAAGCTTTTACAATTTTCGCAGAATTCATTGTTTATTTCAAAATCATCATTTCTAATTTTGAAGTTATATGAAAATGAGATAAAGTAATTGATAATAGCTTCAAATTTTTGATTTTTCTTAGAAAAAAATAATTAGTTGTGTTATCAATAAGTCAATAAAGTCTAGAAAATAACATGATTTTTTTAAAAAATCTCTAAAAGAAATGAATTTGACGGAAGAAGAAGAAGAAGAAAAAAAAAAGAAGAAAATAAATAAAACAAAGGAGGAACTTAACTTGACGTGGGGTTAGGGCGAGGTGAGAGTGAGAGGTGAAGAATAATAAAGAAATTGAGGAAGGGGTAACTTGAAAGTAGGGTGGAAGATGAAATAAAATTTAAAATGAAATTAAAATTAATGTAATAAAATTAAAATAAGTCAATATTAAGAGAGAAAGAAATAAAGAAAAACTTAAAATTATTACAAATCTACTGTATTGTGTGGATTGCCATTAGATTATCCAAGAATTATTTAAATTATGTATCAGTGCTTCCAATGTGACAAGAACATTTAGGAATAACTATGTATCTACTAATTTTTGATAACCTTGCAATCATATATCAACACTATAAATAGAGATATCACCCACAATTTGAAAGACATACTTGAATAAAAAGAAACGTTCGCTCCTTCATCTACTCATCATGTCTTCTTCTCTTTATGATATATTGTTATGACCTTGAATTTATTACAAAAATAAAAAATATATTATATTTTAAATTAAATAAGTATATGTCACGTAATGATTGATGTTGATAACACCTGTCTTTTAAAATATGAAATTGATTAAAAAAAATGATGCAATAATATAAATCAAAATTATTTAAGCGGATAATAAAACGAATGTATAATTAATATGTCATTTTAAAAATTTGAACTAACTTCATTCCTATCTTTTATGGATAATCTACTGATCTTATTAATTTATATTCATGTTAAATAAGTTTACTAATAGAAAAACAACATAATTTTTTTTAAAAAAATATTATCAACATTCAAAGAAGTAAACAAATGAGTAAATCACTATAAAGATTAAAGACAAGTGGCGTTCTTTTTATTTATTTATTTTATATTCATAACATAGTATTTTAATTTCCCTTTATTATTTATAACAAACATATCTAGTAAAAGGTTTCAATAAATCAGTGTCCCATTGACAAGATGTATTCGATCGTGGTTTGGGATTAACACGCTTTTTATGAATAAATTTTTCATTTTCAAGTTTTATAGAGAGGCTTTATTTTTTTAGTTAACATACATAAATTTAATCATTATAATATACTCAGTGTAATTCTACAAATAAGATCTGGATAATTAAAATATACAAAGACATTATGAAATAAGAATGTAAATAATGTAAATTTTTTATGAAAAGTATATAATCTCTATAAAGTTTAAATAATAAAAGTTGACCTCAAAACATAAAAGTTTATTCAGTAAGTTAATAGTGTTGCGTTGAATTTAGTAAGTTGATATAATGATACTAAATTAGTGTTGATTAGTTTTAATGCATGAAATTTGAAGAAGAAGCTAAATTTTTATCCTTTTATAAACACACAACAATAGATTTTGCATATTACCGAAAGTTTGAGTGTTTGAGAGACTTTAGAATATTTAACAATGAGAGAATAAATTAATAAAAATGAGAATTAAAAATGTAAATATAAAAATATTTATTCATAATAATCTTCATATTATAATCGAGACAACAAAATAGACAATTACATTATAAAAAAAGAAAAAATACTACAATTAATTAAACATTATTCCATATTTCTCAATTATTAGTTTATTACAATGATCTATATATTGAATGAGATTAAAAACTATTATATTTTCTACCCAAAAAATACATAAAATCTCTTTAATAATGTATATACATCTTTACGAGGAGATGGAGGGCCAAAAAAGTTAAAAGAGTCGCAAACAATTGTTTTAGGGAAATTTACAAAAATATACTATAAAATAAAAATATTTATTAATTATATTAATAATATTTTTTTCACTTGATCACTTTTAATACATTTATAGTATACTTTTAATTTATATTATAAAGCACAATTTATTATTTACATATAATACAAGTTTTATTGATGGATAATATATTTTGTCAAGTATTTTAATACACTTATAATAAAACGTATCAACTTCTTATCAAACAAGCATAAAATATTTTTTAAAACAATTATATTACATATTGCATACTTAATTCATTTTTAATATATATTACAAATTTAACATGATATTCTTATAAATGATAATAAATAAAAACTATAATTAAAATTATTAATTATTTATTAAAAGACACCTGTCTAGATAATTTTTTTCATTATTTTAGTAATTTTATGATCAGACGACTATGCTCAATATTCCAATTAATTCAAATTCATATCAAATATATCTTTAAAAGGGGATAACTCTCGTTGTCAAGAAGTTTCTCATTACCAAACTTCACTGTATCGTATTGGTCTAATAAATTTAGTTATTATCACCGAATATGTCCACTAAATGGAAAAATACGCCATCACCAAACTATTTTTTTTTTTAATAATTATTCAGTCTCGATCATCTCAATATACTATCGAATAATTAGATATTTTAAATTTTTGAGTTTACCGAAATTATCAAACAGGACATAAGCTTCATATACTAATATACAAGTCTGTTTTACTAATTATATTTTTTGGTAGAACAGAAGGTTTGCCAAACCACCATTTAAATAAATTGAGTTTATTCTTTTTTCTTTTTCTTATATATAATAGGAATAATAAATAGATGATCAACATATATTTAAATTTATTCTTGCATTTGCTTCAAATTTATTCTTAAAAAAAAATAATATTTTTATAAGTCACTGTCTATTTAAAACATCTTTCTCTATGCCACAAAGATAGAATAAGATTTACGTATATTTAATGTTTAAATTAAAAAAATTATTGAAAGAGGTTCACACACAAAATTCGTTTTAAGTGATCGTACATCTACTACATATATATAAAAATATATTTTTAACTTTCAAAAATATATAATGT